CATACCCGAATAACCCAGTGCAACACTATCACTGTATATAAACACTCGCGTGACGCGCTCACACCTTCCCTTTTCCGTTCCTATTCGTTTTTTCTGTCTTCCGTTTCATACATCCATATTATTTAATTTGCTTTTTTCTTTGCGCGCGCGTGCGAAGGTCGAATAGCTAATTCCTGCACTCTGAAGAGCGGCTCGCGTTAATTGCCCCCGCGAGCCGTACAACTTGTGTGATTTACAGCACCTTGGGCTTGCTCGTGTGAAAACTTACAGAAAAAAAACACACACATATGCACACGATCTATGTATGTGCACATGGAAGAACCGAACGCAGAGGGAGACATAAAAAGTTTTCGGCTCTTTGCTGCGTCATTTTTAATAGAGACGTCGTTGGTCTGCCCTTCCTCGATCTGATGCCCGACATGTACATACAGTCAAGCTTCTACCGGGCCCCCTCGCAATATTTATGGCGTTATCACAATGCACCGATCCGAGGGTCAACTCTCCCCTCCCCGCGCATGGTTGCGGTATAATCCTTTCCTCCCCCCCCCCTACCCTTTTGTATTCTTCTTTTTCACGCTACAGCTGTGGCTTTACGAGTCGGCAATAAGACACGAGGGTCTCCGATGATCGCCCTCCCCGTGAAGCACCTATACACATATACGTAATAATATACACACTCGTGACACAAATTGCTCGTGTCCGTTTTATTGTGGACGCGTCGCGTGATTTACCCTTTTGTGATCCCTCGACGCGCTTCTTTGCGCCTCGATCATTTGTGTCGCATTGTTGTACGTTCCAATTTGGCCAGACCGAAGAGAACATACTTCAGGGATACAACGACGCTATCACTAATTTTTTCAAGTAATTAAATGTTGCTTTTTTTTTTGTTTCCATACGAATAATTAATTTATTTATGTATGAAACAGTTGTGTTATTGACAAAGGGTTGATTAATGTATCAAAAAACTTTTACCGACTCGATCAATCCGATTTCATTGGGCTGGTAAACACAATTTGAAGGTTCTGCAATATTATTTTGTCTCTCGCAGGAAAATCAGATAAAGTTTAAAAGTAAGATCATAAAGTATGACGAAAAAAGAGGAGTCTCACTTGAAATTTATTTCATACCATCATCCATGTACGCCGGCATCTTCAATTACACTATCTTCCAAGAATCTGCTAAAAATCAGAAAATCCTCCTTAATCGACTCATTTATACTGATAAATGCGTGGCCATTTGTCACCCCCCCCTCGCGTTAAATCGATCGTTTACGGCGTTATTGTTTTTAATCGTGTTAAATTTATCCTGTAATTGATTCGGGAGGCACCGACTTTCGTCTTCGTAAAATAATAAGCACGCGTAGGGTACGACGAGAGTGAAGAAAAAAAAAAAAAAAAAAAATATTCAAGCCTCACCACTCCCTGTTCCAGTGTATCCGATTAGAATTGCGTAAAAACTGATCATACCATATGATTAATGGTGCCCCAGCGAATCCCTCTTTAATTAAAAGTCCAACCCTTTTTCACGCATCCAAGCGTTTTTTGGGCAAAAAAAAAAAAAAAACAAACAAACTAACAAAAAGGGAGAGAACGCAAAGATCGTAAAAGCCTGCAGATGACCATTAAAAGAGACGAGGTGACAATGCGCACCTGTGCGTCAGAATGCGCGCGCACCTGGTGGTAAGCGAAGCGCGGCTTTAAACACTGAACTTGATGCGGAAAGCAGCTCTGTTTGCTCTTTGAAAAAACAAAAACCTCGCTGACCACTACTTATCATACGGCTTCGCTCGAGCACGAAAGCGGCAGGCGCAGGTGATTGGTTTATGCGAAACGAGCGCGCTCATCCTCCCCTAAAAAACGGCCCGTCCTGCTTTGCGTGCGATTTTTGGTATGCGATAAGACTGTTTTATTTATTTTTTTTTTTTTTCATCCTTTCGTCACTCCCTTCCCTCTTTTTCAAACACACAGGCTGTTTCGCTGCTTCGTAAAAGCGTGCAAACACGCATTGTGGTGTACATAGCTTCGGTCGCTTGATTTTTATACCTACCCACTTAAAGGAGTCAAGGGAAAGATCAAGCCGTGCGTGAAATGTACAAATAATTGGGGGCCCATTTATTTACAAGGAAAAGGGAACACGCGTCGTTTCACGTGCAGTCATGCACCGGAAACTATGGGTGACAGGCGTGTGTGCTATAATATAAGGGTGAGCGAGTGTCCCGAAAATATACCTCCAAAAAGGCATTACCAGCGTTCTGATGTTATCTTTGGATACTCTTCAAGACGTTTTCATTCCACGTTCAATCGAGAAATCTTTGGAATGATAATTAAAAAAATCTCTTTTGCCGTATTTTATATAACCGTAACAACTAAATAAAAAATTGACCGATTTCCAATAAATTGGAAAATTTTTTTTTCTTTTTCTTGATAAGCTTGTATAATCTTGTGGTATTGTACATCTTTATCACGTCGCATTGTACGTATACGTACACACACACACACACACGCATGTATACGTATATGTACCCACATAATGTATAGATACACATAATGTGAAAGGGAGCGCTCTCGCGAGGAGGAGCCGCGCAATGCAAATGAACCAATTACCCGCGAGCTATATACATCCTTATCGATAATACACACCGAAAAGATCCGCTATATATAGTAATTGAAACGATAAACCTTTAATTGATCTTTCAATCTCTTAAGTGGTTCCCCTTAAGGCTCCCTCCGGGGAATATTGTTTTTCTCCTCCTTAGCGGTTTCGGTGCACCATTACATACACACGCGCGCACATTTACCCTTACAGCATCGTGAACAGCACCGGCTACATTACTCATGTACTTGCTGGTACATACACAAAATATATATGTATTATGCACCTACTATAGGCACGTATAAAAAATAGCGTCATTGCTATGTACATCTGTGTACTATATGCAGAAGCACACGTTTCGTTCTCTTTTTAGCTTTCCCTTTGCCATTCCCAATAATTAGACCTACGTACGCACACGTGTATATAAATAATATCCTCGTAAACGTATATAGTCATACCTGATGCGGATGACATTAGACGCGAGCTCTTTTCTTATTATTTCTTGATTAACATTATCGCCCTTATAATTATTATCGGGATCGCGTGCCATCCTATCGTAACTTATATATATATACACACGCATACGCTCACCGGTTTGTAGCAGCGGTAGCTCATATATATGTATATAGGTGGCAGGTGGCAGTCTATCAAGAGATTTATTTACCTGTCCCTCGTCTCTTATCCACTGCGACCGGGTGTAAAAAAAAAAAAAATAAATAAATTAAAAAAAATAAGAATGGAAAAATGTTCATCCGTGGTGTTTGTGCGTGCAAGTCTTGGCATCGTGAAATTCTCTCTCTCGCGGTCCGTATTGATTTTATTTTTCCTCCGGGATACCCCGATCTTTCCTTCTTTCTCCTCGTTAGTATGGTGCAGGTTTTTTTTTTATTACACCTCATGCATTTTGGATGAAATGTACGTTTATGCTCTCGTGATTTTATTATTTTAAATTCCTTTTAAGGCGTCTTGTAGAAAAACCCCTGATAAACGTTATCAAGGATAATCGTAGTTTTGTTCCAAAGGAACGATTATTGGGTTGAGTCAAACTCGAATCGAATCGCGTGCATCGGAGTACTCAACCAGACCTTGGGAAATCTATTGTAAAGAATTACTTTAATCTCATGATTTCGACCTCATCCAAGCGTCAGGAGGCGTGATTGAGTAGCTCCCAAGAGGCAGCCTCACTCCCGCGTTAGTACCAGATGAACTTGGAAAATAACAGATCTCTGGTCATATCGCCTCTAGGAGCGACTCCATCGTGTTTATCGTCTATCCGAATGGCTTGTTGTGCTTTAAAAGCTGCAGTACTTTACCTGTGATACTAAATTGATAATAAGAAAGAAGGAAAAGACGAGACTGGCAAATAATGATGTTATACTAGTCGTGCAGGACTTTAGTTTTTGCTATTCATCTATACACAATTTTTTTTTTTTTTTTCATTTCTTATTCTTATTAATTACGTTTGATATGTCATGAAGACACGGGTTTAATTTTACATCTTCTACAACAATCTAATATCTTATATGTATAGCTTGTGTTGTGTCTAGTCACAGTTATTTCACGAAAAAAATCCTTGATAATTGAAAAATAGCCTTAAAATGTTTGTAGCCTGAAAAATGTTTATATACGCCTGTTACAATATCGAAATGCTGGCTTCATCCTGTAGAAATTTTTTTTTTTACTGCTTTTTCTAAGCATAGTAATTAATCTTGAAATATTCCTATAAACAAACGCACAGAACCACTTCCTTATGAGATTAAACTAATCAAGTGCTTGCAAAAAATAACGTCGAAAAATTTTATACGAGGAACAAAATTATTGAAAAAATTTCTTTTGTTTTGTGCTTTGCTGTTGATGACAATTTAATTACTACGATACTAAGAAATAACCTGAGTTACATTTTTATCCCCAATGGGACCCAATCGTTATATTATCTTAAAAATTTTTTATATTTTTTCCTAGTATCTTAACCATTTACTCAAATTTTTTTTTCAACCAAAACTTAACACGAGGACGTCAAACACTCAAAAAACTCCCATACAACGTATAAAGTGTTTTTGTGTTTATCGAAATATAAAAAAAAAAAAAAAAAAAGCTTTCCCAGAACTTTAGGTACATCAAGAAGTTTATTATGGACTAGTCGAGCGTGCGAGTAATAAATTAATTTAAATATTAGCACGATAATGATGCACTTGGTCGCCTCTATTAAGCCCGGAGTTGCCATCATCGCAGTGATACACGGAAAATCACGCGCTCACGTACATAAAATGTGCACGTGTACGTACCTGACGGTAGTATAAAGTATTTCATCTTTCATACTATCCCTTGTAACCTGATTCCATCGTCAAGAGCTCATGTGCCATTTACAATCGCGCTAACATTTTTTAAAACCTATAGTGCACACGTACCTGCTTACGCACATTGGGATGCACTTGAAAAGATATGCTTTATCGCTCACCCCGTCATCTTGGACTTTATATACGGCATTTAAGAGTTTAATACGTTGGTAACCACACCACTTGGGCTTAATGACACGCCAATATTAAGATGCGCTCTTTAAATTCGCATATATGTGAACTACGCCATATTTAAGTACCAACCATGTAGACACTTTCCGTAGGCCATAGCCTCGGTGGGTGCCTCATTACACCATCACCTTCCGGCTTGCACGTGGTCGAGGTCATCATTTTCGGCTGTTTGTCTTAGTCGGACCTAAAACTTTGCCAGCACAAATGTATGTTGTTTCGGCAAAAGTTTTTTTTGTTCCGAACGCATATTTCATGATATGAATGACTTTACTTGTATCAGTTTGATTTCCGTAACTGATGGCACCCGTTATACGTAAACTCAATGTTAAAAGTTGATTCACCGCTATTGTTTATTATGACATGGTATGTCTGAATGACACCTTCGTGTTTTATATTTTCTGTTAATGAGAAAAATTTCTAAAATTAATTACTCTACTAGTTGACCTAAGGAATATTCACGGTTAAGATAACAGAATATAGTGTGTGTCCAAAGATAGTATGTTTTATATCTCTAATAACATTTTTCTTCGAAAATTTCTTTACAATAAAGTTATTAGGAACATATTTTATTGTCGATTGGTTTTTAATGTGTTAGAAGATAAAAACTAAAACATAAGATTTTTGTTGGTATAAGTTAATAGTATTGTCAATGGTTGCTGTAAAAAATCACGAACAAAAAAAAGTTATAAACATGCGGGGGAATATGTACGAACACATTTATGCTTTGTCTTGTCTTGTTCGCGTCCATTTTCTTAATTTCTCTCTTTTTATTATTCCTCCTGTAGGTACACGGAAGGTACACAACCCCCTATGCCACGTCCCAAAATCGGCTACATTCACGCTATGCCATCTCCTTCTTCGCGTATGATATTACGCGTAGCACACGCATACGTTGTCGTGTACATCAGCGTAGATCAGTATGAAGTAGATTTTGGCTTACTACTCGTTTTAGGGACATTATTCCTTCAATTTTTGGTGTTCTATCAGTTTTGGAGTTCAATCTTTGGTTGTTATATCAGTCGACACACGTGTTAGATTTTCGCTTATCTTTTAATTTTGCTGTGACTATCAGGGAATCAATTTGAATTTCTAGCACGTTTTTGTGATAGCTATTTTTGTGGAGTGTGAGGCTCTGCAACGTGTAGCATTCAAGCTGTATTTGATAGATATGAAAAATTTATTCACTAAATGGGGAGTGGGCGCAAAGGTGCTACATTCCTAATGTGGTTGAAAAATTATTTTTACCCCATTTATCGTGTATTAACGTTTTATGCATGAATCATGTTTAATGTACGTACTTATACATGGGTGAATTGTTAGTGTACGTTGTCTATAAAATTAAGTAATTTTATACAAAATAAACGTAATTTTTTAAACTGAAGTTGATAAAAAAGTACGTTAGGCCTACCATGAGCTTTACATTCTTTACAAGACTGAATAATTTATCAGTTTTGTCAATTAAACAAAATTTTACAAAATCGATATTGAGATAGTTATTTACGTAACAAGTGCGGAAAAGACGATTTCCCGCACGAGTAGTGATTGACTCACACGAGTGCCGGTGTTCACGGGAACGAGTACCAGTTGAGCACACGAGTGCGTAGCACGAGTGTGATCGCCAGGTACGAGTTACCATCACCGGCCACGAGTGCGGGAAATCGTCCCGCACGAGTTGCGTACAAGTTTTTTCGCAATGTGTGAGTTAAATAGGTACAAAATAGGTTTGAATTTTGATTTCCAGTGTGTAGCAAAATTTTTTCCGGTGTGTGGCAAAACCTTTTCCACACCTTTTCCGCACACTGTGCGGCAAAAACCTTTGCCGCATACTTTTTCCACACACTGTGCGACAAAAACCTTTGCCGCACACCTTTGTCGCACACTATGTGGGAAAATCGATTTTCCACACTAATACCAGTGCGGAAAACATCCATTTTCCGCAAACAATTGCGAAATGGTAGTTTTCCTACGAGTTTGAAAAGTCTTCGTTTGCGAACCGAGAGGTTTGCGGCCCGAGCCGAAGGCGAGGTCCGTAACGAGGTTCGTAAAGGAGACTTTTCGAACGAGTATCGGAAAACTGCTTTTTTGCCCGAGGAAGTACCAGCCTCCCAAAACCACCCGAGGGCGGAAAAAGTTATAAACGGTATTGCGAAAATCATCTGTAAGGCCCAAGAAGATAAAGTGTGGTCAATAAAGTCAATATTTTTATTTGTTTACGATGGATTTCTGTAGACCTAGACCAGACATAGTTTTTATAGAAATGAATCCATCACAATTTATTATTGTATAATATTCAATTTACTACTGTACTATGATGCCTATGTACTATAATACACAATTTTTGCTCAGTTACTTGACAATAACTGGACTAGATACGTCAACTTCGATATTTTTTATGACGACACAAGGGTAGAAACTCATGACTTTACCCTATTTGCCACTGGTCAACGCTATACTGTTAATTCATTGAGAGTTTTTTCATTTTTTATTTTAAGTTAACAACATTAGTTTCATCAGAAAAACAAACGTTCTGTTTGAGTCAACGTTGGTTACCAATCGAGCACTTTTGTTGAATAGTACTATGGATTCTTCATTGCATATTATATTTATTTTTTGTCCTAAAAAATTTTTCGTCAACTAGCGTGTTACTGCTGCTATATGTATATTATACGCTTTAGGCCGATTGGTTTACTATCGAGTTTTTTTCATTAAATATCTTGTTGGGCTTATTGCTTAAACTCTTAATTTACTGATATCGTTGATGTGAAAAAATTCACGCACAATCGTATTTTTTATCACGTTTCCAAAAGCATACGTATATTAGGATAGCTGCTCACGGTCACGTACAAACGTTTCTCACAAAATTGTCAGTGCTGTACGACACTACATTCTGCTAATACGAGTAGTTCTTACTGCGGTGTGAAACTTTCAAGGCTTAGATTTTTCCTCGCAGTATTTTCTTTAACTCCACGCCAAGTATCTGACAATAGCAATGGCTTTTGCAAAGCTACGTATTTTGTTAGCATCGTTAGCCTTAGCTCTGATTCTCGCGACTGTGAGTGCCAAAAAATTCATACGATGGGGTAAAAGAGTTGAAGGGGATCGTATAGCTTGTTCCAAAACGATGGATCTTCCAGCTGTCTACAACAAAGTGTGGGGTACCATTGGAGCTCGCATTGGTCATGTATTTTGTAACGTTACAACAAAGAATCTCGCCAGGATAAATTGCGTAACATTCGAGGATCGCGCATTGAATGACTCGGATAGCATAACGGCGAATGACATCATAGAGTCTCATGGTTCGAAATTTAACAGCATAGAAATCTATATTCATGGTAAAATGGGTAAACCGCTCAACATCACGGTCAATATTTTCGCCGAGCCCTACACAGTACCGTATTATTGAGATGTTTAAATTGTATTTTTACGCAACTTAGTGATGGACAAATAATTTTTTCCTTATTTGGGAACCAAACGAAGAATTTTAAGCGTAAAAGTTAATGTGCACAATAATACAATGAAAAACACTGTATCAATTTAATATTAAATATACGGATTTTCTAAAAACTGTATGAATTTTGTATTGACTTTTTTGTTGTTCCATTTGTTCGTCCTACCAATGTATAATTAAGGATTTTTTGAGTCATTGTACTTGTAACACATTCCCAAGTTTCTGCAAATGTTAAACTTTTTTTGATAATAAAGGCATTTCTTGAAGCAGATCAAATCCTCTTTACATTTCATCTCCTGATCTTCCTGATATAAGTTTTACCTATTTCCTTATTACTGATTAAATCGTATTAAATATAAAATTTTATTTTTCCTTGATGCAATGCTATCACCAATGTAAGTAAATCATTTCCTCTTACGCTTATAAAATATTCATGCCACTTCCAGGCTTTTTAAACGTTTTTTCGCTAAACCCATGACTTACGAGTATTAAACAAAAAAAACCCCTAGTAACTTATGGGAATCTCGTGATATCTGTAAAATGGCTAATCTGAGAGGCAGAGAGTCTGGACTTTTACATGGTAATTTCAAAATCCACACGTATGTTCAAGTACTTTTCCCTGGGGTAGAAGAGCAGCAGCAGTTGAAGAAATCGCGGATAATCTTTTTATGGTAACGTAAAAGCTGGGCACATAAATCTACATGGGGTTGATTTTTTGAGTCTAAAATAATATGCCCCAATAATGGGCCCATTGAGGCGAAATTATGCGAGCTGCTCTAGGAGCTGTGCCCTCATATCGCCCGCTAGTGGTAATTTTTCGTAAGTATAAGTGGTTAAAGGAGCACGGTACGTTTTAAATGAGCTGCTTTTTGAATACAATGTTTTCCTTCGTACAGCAATGTATAATGTTTATTTACTACTATTGTTTATTATGAAATGTTATGTCTTAATCATGCCTTCGTGTTGTATATTTTCTGTTAACAAGAAAAAATTTCGGTCATTAATTAGTATTTTAACGACTCATCAAACTTAAAAAATTTTGTTTAAAAGAATGTTTTAAACAATTTACACATACTAGTTAACCTAAGGAATATTTTAAGTTAAGATAAAAGAATATAGTATATGTCCAAAGATAGTAAATTTTATATCTCTAATAACTATTTTGTTCGATATGATATGCTTTCGTTTTAAGTCTTTACAATAAAGTTATTAGGAACATATTTTATTGTTGATTGATTTTTAATGCGTTAAATGATAACAACTAAAATATAAGATTTTTGTTGGCATGAGTCAATAGTATTGTCAATGGTTGCTGTAAAAAGTCACGAAGAAAAAAGAAGTTACAAACATGCGTGGGAACTTGTATACAACAAAAATTACAAGCCAGTATAACTTTTAGATAAAGTATCCAGCAGATTATATCACAAGTAAATAGGTCATTAAAATCGTCTCGCTTGGTATGCCAACTAATTGTATCGGTTATCTCTATGATCCACTACACTGCCGTATTGAGACACGGGACAAGAGTAATTGTGAATATTGTGCTTTGATACAAAACGAGTAAGCCGTATTACCTGTAAAGTTTGGTAAATTTTGTGGATACACTTATCTCTAAACTAGTTGATAATGTCACTGGACATGAACCAGCTTTTCGGGCTTCAATACACCAGCCGATTCCCAATTTTAAAGTTGATTCTTGCAAAGAACG